AAATTGAGTAGCGAGGTACGAGAGATTTGGGACGAAAACGAGTACGATGACAAACATGGGGATTTTACAAGATGTGTGCGAATCTCTAGGTTAAACTATCTAACGTACGAATGACGGACACTCTCTGGTCCAATTAACGGTCCCCTCAAGGTGATACTGATGTATCAGAGAACCTTGTACTCCGAATTGGGCTAATATCAACCGTACCCCCTCTTGGGAGGACGTATCATCCAATACTGTCCAAGACTGACAATATCCGGCGACGGATGAAGACGTTTTCAAAGGATTTAAATCAGAAGAGAAAGTCTTCCATTTCGCTTTGCTTTCCACATGATGTGTTCCATAAGACGGTCACGAACGGTTCCAGCTTGAATCTTGGTTAAAACATCGGCCAAGTTCTCAGCAGAAATGATCCATTCAATTCGTAGAATATCAATTGCACATCTGGAGCGAACGTAGTGATATGCGACAGCATTCGATTTCTTTTTCAATTGAGATTCAGGAACACTTGAGTTCTTGACAACGGACATATTGTCAACACAAGTATGACAATAACCTTGGATTGGGACGCCCATCATTCTGAGCTTGAATCGCAGTCCCTCAAGTAATTCAACACCTGTCTTGAGAGCAGCAAATTCAGAACCAAAACTGCTTGTCTCGACACTGTTTTGCTTTTTTGAATACCAGATAATAGGAGCTTTGTTAACAAAGATCAATACTCCTGTTCTTGATTGACGAGTAACAACGTTAGCAGCATGAGATGCATCAACAAACATAGTAAACTCTACCGCTTTGCCAAGAGGTGTAGGCATGTCACTTGAGAGTTCATCCTCAGTGAACTCATAGAACTGTGAGTAGTCAGCTTTCTTTAATAGTCTAAGATGGTCAGCATAACCACAATCCATCACAAGCACACGATCAGGATGCTTCTGTAAATAGGCAAAAATATGTAAGGCAGCATGAAAGTGACCTTCACAAGGCATTGCATTGTAAGACGAGAGCATAGAAACTTCGGCAGCGACATTGATACGACCAAGTTCCACAAGCCAGCGCAGAATACCGATGAGTTGCATGTAGAAGATAGCAGTATCATCATCGACAAAAGGAGTAGAATCAAGTTCCGGCTTATATCCAGTGGGTAAAGTTGAATGAACCTTTTTCTTCAAAGTCAGTTGCATTGGCGCAATTCGTTTCTTGACAACTCTTAACGACTCTTGTAGATACGCTTCAGATCCAATAGCCCAGGTGAAATAATCATCACCATCCAGCTTGTGCTTCGAGATTGTTGCACCAAGATATGTGGTTGGCTCTTTTATCGAGTCAGGCTTTAAAACAAAGAAATTGTTGAGTTTGTCCATAATCGCTTTTGGATTCTCCAAGATTGCAATGACATACTTCGAACCATCTTTGCGTTGACAAGGATGACGCCAAACATCCATATCTCCGCGACATGGTTGGAACTCCAATTGTTCCTTCAAAACGTCCGCACAGAGGCTCCTCCATGCAAATCCCAAACTTTTGAGTCCGTAAACGGCCTTAACCAGGATAGCTTTCTTCCTGGCATATTCTCCAAACTCCTTCCCTAAAATACAATAAACTTTTTTCGGCACATTTGGCATTCAGATATGCACCGGAGACGTCAGCACTCAAAACATTCAAACCATTCAAAGCAGCAATAATGAAAGCAAGTCAAATACTTTCCCTTGTCACAACACTTGCATAGGTGACAGACATTGGAGGATCCGTTTGGTCCCCTCTAGCACATATTCGTGCCTTCCGCGTGAGATCCATCTTGACATCAAAAACAGTCATAAGCTCAATTAGCTGGTACCCAACGGGAACATCTTCCTCTTCTTCCAGAATCTTCAAAGCTGGTAGGATTGTTTTGACTTCTTTGATCAAGGCATCACTCCAATGTGAGGTACCATTCTCAGTGTACCATTCTCAGCATCAAGTACATCTTGACATCAAAAACAGTCATAAGTTCAATTAGCTGGTAACCAACGGGAACATCTTCCTCTTCTTCCAGAATCTTCAAAGCTGGTAGGATTGTCTTCACTTCTTTGATCAAGGCATCACTCCAATGGGAGGTACCATTTTCAGCATAAAGTTCATACGCACGTGCAACACCTTTTGGCCCAGGACCAGGCACCTCAATACCAAACTTTTCTGGCTTCTGTCTTTTCACAGCACGGCGCTTAACAGCTTTCAAAACTCGATCACGCTTTCTCAAAGTGTAGGGAACCCATCACGCAAAGGCAGGCTCTGACACAACCTTGTTTGCAACAGCATATTCAGCGACCTCGATAGGAAACGCTTCTTTTGCTACTGATAGATCAAGCCATTCTGTTTCTCCACCTTTCATCTCAGCTAATACTTTCCATCCTTTGGTTTTCTTTTGTGGACGCTTGAGACCGCTAGAGGTAGTATACCATCCATTGTCCCCTCTAACTGCTTGTCTATCACGTTGATGATCAATAAATTCGCGAATCCGGTACATCGTGTTACCTTCATCATCGACATTCATCATTATCCTTTCAATAATCTGATTTGCATAGAAGCTTTCCACCTTTCCATCCTCGAACTCCACTTGATAGATAGACGTGTCAAGGTGTGGATTCTCGCGGTAGTGACCAATCAATTTTCCAGATGAGTCACGCTTCCGACCTTGAACAACTCCGAAAGCCTCAACTCCATCTGCATTAAACAATACTTTTGCAGAGACGTATTTGTCGAACTCAACAGGATCTGATTCTTGATCTGGCGGCTCTTCAAAATCATCTTAAATCTTGTGACGAGGATCTTCTTGTGGATGATCTTCATATTGTGCATACTGCGGGTAACCACCGTCTTCGATTGCAGAGATCGGCATGTTGTATTTATGCCGAATGCGATCAAGTTCTTCTTCAGAGATAGAAACTCCATCAGACTTCTTCTTCAGATTCTTCTTCAGGTCTTCCATAAACTCTTTCTTTTTCTCTTCCATTGGTTCACTATTTCGCTCTTCGGCTGACAAAGGAATCACTGACGATCGTTGTAGTACTTGTCCATTGGCAATAGCAACAGCAAAACAAAGAGCTGCTCCAATAGTAAAACTTGGACCAAGCCAACGACATAGTTGTTTCCCATCCTTGGATGAGCGATTAGGTGAAAGGCACCAGCACCAATCCCAAATAGCAAAATCAACCAGGTGAGAGATATCTTTAGTGTTGCCAGAAACGATTGTGGCTCCACATTCTCCTTCTTGTATTGCAAGTCCCAGTGCCATGTGACTGCGAATCTCAAAAGCATACATAAAAACTCGATCCCAAAACGCAATAGGGATATTCCTTGCATGCATGAATCGACGGTAAAGTCGACTTCCTTCCCGAATTATGTCTTCTGTCAGTGCTTCATTGGAATGATGGGGTTCGATAGGATGAATTGGCACTTGTCCTTTGTTAGCGACTTCTCGGAATTTCCCTTGAGTGAGTGATTTAGCATCATCAGGCATCATCAGGTATGAGACATTGGGGAAAACCGAACTGATGGAATAGTTGTGTGAGGCTTGTGTGAACATCGGATTCTTTGTTCAACGGATAAGCACAAGCCCACTGTACTGGTGTAGCATAGACCTTGCAGGGTCCAAACTTAACATCAACATAGACATTTGTCTTCAATCTCGGATACTCCAACTGATATTGTACAGGGCAAAAACGGCAAGACCCTTGAACGACTGACCAATCACGAACGGCACGTTGAGTTGTCTTCTCCAGGGTGCGACGAGCACATTCAATACTGGTTCTCCATCGACAAGCAAGTTGCTCCGGCTTGATGAGATAGGATTTTCTGGAAGTTTTCATCGATCGAATTGTCAAACTGTGTACGCCACATACGACATTGTTGCTGTCCCCTAAAACTTGCGGTAAACGGTCCAAGAACTTAGCATAGAAGTCCTGGAAAGGGCTATCGAACCTGGGAAGGGCTTGAGACCAGTGGGCGTTGTGGTCGTCCATCCATTTTGTAAAAACGTGATTTCCAAACTCTATCTGAGTAGAGTTCTTGTCATAGCCGATAGCGACTAAATCTTGAGTGGAGAGCCCAAAGTCAATCAGTGGGCGCAATGTGTTGATCACTTCTTTGGTTCCGGAATCGTTGGAGATCTTGGGATCTCTATCTTTAGGTTGACGTAATTCAACAGAGGATGCATTTTCCAATCGTTTCTTTCCGCTCTTTTTGGAGGTAGAACCCGACTTAGATTTTGATCCGCCTGCCTTCTTAGCAGCCGTTGAAACAACCTTCAAAGATGTATACTTTCCCATTGTAAAACAGTGAAATGCCGTTGAATTGATAAAACTGCTGCAATTTCTACGTAGACTCTAGTACTTAGGCTACAAATACGGTTTGCAAAGTTCCGATTGGTTCGGTGCTTTTCGTTTTCCGTTTTTCTTTTTCTATGAAGCCTTGTTGGCTGAGTTGCATTCCACTGAACGCAATCTCACCGTTAGCATTCATAGAATAAGGGACAGTAACAGTGCCGCCACCTTGAGTTGGAATCTGCATGAGCTGCATTCCCAAAGGAACTTGCATCATTTGATTACCTGTAGGAACTTGTATCATTTGATTACAGTACCAGCAAGTCGCAAAGGTGTGTTAACACTTCCCGCAACACTATAGATAGGAAGCTCAAGCGAGTTGTATGCCACCATCACTACATTCGACTTGAACACCCTTCTTACCTGGGTCTGACCTACAGTATGACCATTGGATGGAAACATGGGGAGAATACCCCAGAATCACTGAACATCACTGGAGCCAATGACTCAGTGACCTACACTATATACTCTAGACGATGTTCCACCAGTGATAACACTTGTCGCTGGAGAAGTTCCAGGAACTATAGCTGTAGTTGGGACAGTTGCTTCAATCTGAGCTTCTTCCTATAATCAACATAGTGTTTCGGATTCTTCCATTGAATCTCTGGTAGCAGTCTGTCCGGGCATTTTGGAGACATATGGTCCTCCCTGCCACATACATAACATGCTGCCTCTTTCTTATCGTCCTTCGGTTTACCTTTACCTTTACCTTTATTAGGCTGGTCACCACCACCGTTGCGGCGATTGCAACGCATTTCTAGACAAATATTTCTTTCTTCTTGCGTAAACTCCTCTCTCCAGATTTGATTTGAATAACCTCCATCATTTAGTAGTATACCATTGCGGCTAAAGCGATCTGGAACATTTGATTGCAGGCGGTTTGAGGCGCCATTTCCTCGGCCACGGCCTCCACTTCTCCCATCACCACCACGTCCGCCACCACCACCTCGTGTGAAAGCAGCAAGTTGTCGATTGCGGCGCTGGGTGTTGTCGTTACCTGCAGCTAAGACTTGTGTTGTTAAATAATCGATGGCACCTTGGAAATTGGATCGGAGAACGGCATCTCCTGTAATATGAGATCTTCCATTGGAAAGTGAGGAGTCTCCAACAGTTTTCTCGAGAAGTACGTCAACCTTATTTGCATCAGAGCGTGGATCACTGTTCAACTCGAGGTCGTTGAAGGCTCCAATAAGGCGACTGATAAAAGTATTCCAAGTGAAGCCTCGAGCTTTACCGTTCCAGTGAAGTGTTGCGAGGACACGGACAGCAGCTTGGCATTCATTGGTGAAATGTCCCCTTCCACAATATTGTGCAAACAGAGCAAAGTAAGCAGCTCGGCCATTCAAACTTGGAGCAAATTGACGAACGTGATTGTAGACATCGGTTTCATGTGTGACGGCATGGAGCAAAACCCAAAATTTCTGGTTGTTGCGACGGAACACAGCGCCAGTATGAGCAGCACGTCGGACAAGTTCTTCCTCAATAGAGCAAGTGCCATCATCGGCTTTGAGAAAACCAGGGTCACCGACGAGTGGAAGTGCAGAGTTTTCACGGAAAATTTAATCAAGGCAAATTCCACAGTAGCCATAGGCAGTACGAGCCCAACTTTTGATATTTTCCATCATGGTTCGACCATCGCGATTGTTGAACTTTGGAGGATGTGGAGGAAGTGGGTAGGAGTCCCCTTCCATAAGATCTGGGTTTTCATCATAGAATTGACCAATAAAAAGGAGATTTGGAATGGTTCCAAGGGCTGGTGTATGGGTTCTTTGAACCAAAATGAGGAGCTTCCCATATTTGGAGATACGATGAATAGTCATTGCTTCGCGAGCGGTAACTCCGATAGTCGCATTTGCATTGTTGGGATCAGGGGCTCTTCGCATAGATTTGATGTCTTCACAAACTTGAGAAGTGGTTCTGTTGGCGAAGGAATCAACAGAGTCAAGGCCTTCAACATCTGTCATGTGTTGCATGAGAACGGGTCAAATAAGGAGATTGACTTCGCACCAGTTACGAAATTGAATAACAGCAACCATTGTGATGCGATGATGTGTTGACAAATTTTTTTTTGGATGTGTTGTTTGGTTTCAGAGTCGAAAAGTGTTGGACTTGAAGTCAGAAATTACCGGAGAGAATTGCCAGAAGGCGAACGTTGGTGATATCTGGAAACTTCAAATAATTTATCCCTAAATGACGAAGCATCTCATATTGAGAGCTGTATATAAACGTGGCACAGATGGTTGCACGCATGGCACGTCTGCCGTTTAGCCTTCGCTGGCGAACAATTTAGTTATCGCTGCGACGTGATTAGCCTTCGGTGCGCATCCAAACGCCAAAATTGTGGCATGAAAAAATCACGAGATTGATAAGACGATGGTGATCCTAACCATGGCTGAATGAGGCGATTTCCTCAAAGAGATATTATTCGAAAGCCTTCCCAGGCTCCTCTATCCATTGTGGATTGCTTGGGTCTGATAAACCGTTAAATTGAGTAGCGAGGTACGAGGGATTTGGGACGAAAACGAGTACGATGACAAACATGGGGATTTTACAAGATGTGTGCGAATCTCTAGGTTAAACTATCTAACGTACGAATGACGGACACTCTCTGGTCCAATTAACGGAATAGAGCGGTGAAATGAAATGGCGGTCTTTTAGGTCCCCTCTCTCCAGCAATCTTCCGGCATTGTTGACCAGAGAGTCTTCAACAAGTTGGTATTTGGTGGTGCGGGGGTCCCAGTTGGGTGCGTCTGATAAACCGTTGAATTGAGTAGCGAGGTAGGAGAGATTCGGGATGAAAACGAGTAGGATGACAAACATGGGGATTTTACAAGATATGTGCAAATCTCTAGGTTAAAATATCTAAACGTACAAATGAAGGACACTATCTGGTCCAATTAACAATACTGTCTTTCTGGGGAAAGACATTCAATAGCTCGGCGGCTCGACGTCCAAGACATTCAGTGATCACCTTTGGTACCACTTTGTAGGGTAATCGTGCAAGAGCTACTCTGACTCTTTCTTCCAGCGTCCTATTGTTTCGCTCAGCTGTAGGCTCATGGTCTCCAGCTGCAGTTGGGTCAATAGTAGCACCCATATTATCTAACAAATCATCCGTAAGAGGAATGAATGCCCGATCACACTTGATTGTCTTGACATGAAAGCCTGCCTTATTGTAGCGGCGGAATATCTTATCCAATGCTGCAAATACAGGGTCAGTCTTGAGGTTCTGCATGGGAATACATGAGCGATAACGCACAGTGGTATCAATGCAGGTGAGAAACTTAGCATTCTCGATCTCCATGTGATCAATACATACCGTGATTGTTCGATTGTGTTGATACAATTCCTCTGGTGGACTGAAGAAGTCATTGTGTGTCTTCTTCGGAGTTGGTCTTGTTGAGTTGCGACATCCGCTCCAAGTTGCTCCAACACATACACACCCTTACGATTCACAAATCGCATCTGTCTGTCTCCATCACAATGCACAACAAAGGCATTGTCAACATCAGTATCCATGGTAATGCGGTATCCCGCAGCAATCATCTCGCGCATAGCAAGTACATTTGCAATTCCGTCTTCATCATAATAGACTGGAGGCGGAAATCTTCCTAGAAATCCTTCTTCATCGAGAACTCTGCTGCCCACATTAGTGTGCATATAGCTCTTTCTCAGCTTGACGTAGTCCATGCATGAGCTCACCAACATACCTTTGGCATCAAGATCCAAGTATGACGCAATTGATAAATGCTTTTGGTTGTATAATGCACGTGACTTCATGGTGGAAAAGATTTATTGTGATGGGGAATTCGGTCCGGTATTTGAGCCTGTGAAAGATGAACTTGAAGTTCACATGAACTACGCCAGCAGAGGCGAGCATGATCCGAAGGCGGAACGAAATAACCAACATTTGAAAGCGTTGTATTCACTTTCACCGAATGCCATTCAAGGCGATTCCGAAGAAGTTGACTGTGGCAAATATCCAACTATTACCCAGCAAAAGGGGGGCTGTCTGAATACTACAGCCCGCATATGATTATGCATCAGCGAATGGTTGATGCCTCTAAAGAATTTGTTGCCAAGATTGGTGCATGGCTATGGGCATGATACCAAGAACAATATGGCTGCTCGAACGATCGAGGGTGTTTACATGGGACCCAGTAAACAAAATTGAAAGACTGAGCGATGTAACCCTCCAAAATGAAAATATTCCAGATGCCGAAGATCTAATGGATGAAGAATATAAAGAACACGAATGGATAACTGGAAATGAGGACATGGACTATGAAAACGATTATGAGTCCAAATTAGACGATCATACGGATTGAAAACAAATCCCTTTGCCTCCAAATCACTTTGAAACTGATTATAGAATAGGAGGCTCGATTGCAACATCCCATATATAGCACGTAGTACCCGAACATAGATTACTCGCTTTCCGTTCTCTAATACAACGTATTCGCGATACTCTGGGGCCATGTCTATCAATATCTGTACCATCATGCCAGTGATTTTCATGTAGATACGATCTTCTCCTTCCTTAGCTTCAGGCATATAAGTTTGAATGAAAGCGTTAGGCACGTCCATCATCATTATATCTCTACCTTCGTGTGCATCAATAACACAAGTAGTGGTGATTGCTTCTTGCAAAGCAGTTGGACTTGCAGTGTCCTCTCGCGATAACCATTCACGAGTTCCATCACCTCCGTATACTAGGCAACCTTTAATTGTCTTTTCGAATTGCTTTTCCGTGAGTAACATCATTGCTGATTGGGCCTTCTTTCGCTCAGACGCGGTCATGTCTTTCACAAATTCCTTATCCACAGCATCTTTTCCATCATCACCAAACTTCTTCTGTCCTTGATTGATGTAATACTGTTGAATGAAGTTCAGACCTTCGTCAGTATCAAACTTTGCCTTGATCTGCATCATGCAACGAGCGATCAGAATAGCGCCGTGCTCTTCATAATCAGCTTTCATCTCATTCCCAATCTGTTGGAAACATAGATTGTGCTGTGGTTCAAGGATAGCTTTACTGTCTTTAGTACTGCGACTTCCCTCTTTGGTACGAATACCAGAGTTCAATTTGTCCTTTAACGGTTTCATTTCCCTCTCTCGATGCTTGCGTCTTGTCGCAACTCGATTCTTGTTCTTATTGGCAGAACTGCCACTCCTGCTCGAAAGCCATTCTCTTGCTTTCTTTGGAACTTGAGAAAGGTTCAGCCCTGACATTGCAGCTTGCGCATACGTTTGCCCAGATCGAGTGACTTTTGCTACTTGAGGCATTTCAGGCTCAAATACAATCTCTTCTTCTGGCGGTTCTTGTAGATCCTCCAGATCAGTAACAAGGCTTTCAATATCATTGGTTCCTCTATCGACATTTTCTTTATGGTGATCCAAATCGGCCACAATAGGTTCTTTCTCTTCATCACCTTCATCACTCGAATCGTCATCATCTGATTCATAGTCATCATCTCCTTGGAATCTGACAATGAGTTCCGGCATATCATTGACATCATTGTCTGCATCTGCCAAGAGCTCATTTCTTTTGGAGTCATCGATATCATCGAATTGTCCACGTAGGTTGAAATCACGTTCATCTTCATCTTCAGGTTCATA